GGGTACCCATCACAGACCGTGACAGAGAACCCTGGTACCCATCACAGACCGTGACAGAGAATCCAGGGTACCCATCACAAACCGTGACAGAGAATCCCGGGGACCCATCACAGACCGTGACAGAGAATCCAGGGTACCCATCACAGACCGTGACAGAGAATTCAGGGTACCCATCACAGACCGTGACAGAGAATCCCGGGGACCCATCACAGACAGTGACAGAGAACCCTGGTACCCATTACAGACCGTGATAGAGAAGCTGTAGTTGTAAAAGATCAGATAAACGGTTAACTACAAATATGTCGCAAAGGAACGGAACAAAAGGATTTCTATTTAATTAGTAACAATAGATTCATCGTGTTTCACATTTTTAATCCCGCAAGGGATTGCGCTAACAGCTTTTTATCAAAAAAATTTGGTTAGAAGTTTACAGTCAAATGCCTGTAAAATTTCTGAATGAATGAAGTTAAAAATTTGGATATTGTGCAGTTTTTGAATTTTTCAAATGATGATTCTTATGTACTTCCGGAATATCAAAAACTCACTATAGTGATCAGATGTGGTGCACGGATTTTCAAAAAGTTCAATTGTAAACTGTCAACAAAAATTTCTAGACAAGTTTGTAATATATGATTCAATGCGTTTTCATCGTCTTTTTCGAGCGGTAAAAATCAAAGTTCTTCATCATCAAGTAAAGTTTTCATTGTTGATAAATCAGCAAGCACAACGATCAAAACAGAAATCACCAAAAACACGATAGAAATTTTATCAGATCTCAATAAATAAAAACATCTTTGTAAAGATTAATTGCTTTGAAAAATAATTGAAAAGTGAACTTTTTGAATCATTTAGTTCTACAACACAGAAAGTATCGAATAATCGCCCATCGAAAGCTCAAATTAATAATAGAATAATACGTGAGCAATCATCATCAATATATTTATATAATTATTCACAAATGACCCAAATTACAACGAGACAAATCCCTTATTCACACAATCATGATCAATATTCATTGACAAACTATCAAAAATATTCGTCTCATGACAGTTTCAAATATGTCATTCCATCACAAGAACAAGCATATGATCAAGTAAAATACACACAAATAGCATCTGATGAATCAAATGCTTTTAATCATTATCTTGATCTTGAAGGACAATATCTTCCAGAAGTATTATTCAATGAATCATTAGAAAGATATTCTCCACAACAAATGTCAATAATACCATATAATGATTTTAGTAATATAGAGCGAATTGATATTCAACATATACTCAATCCTATTCAACAAGATTATTTTCATACTGTTCAACCATATGCATCCAGTGTAACATTTAAAAATAATTATGAAGATGATCATCTTTTAGTTGATAATGAATCAATGACGGTAGCACCTATACAAACAGGTTCTTTTTTATTGTCAATTTAAGATAGAATAAGGATTGATTTTCAATCGTAGATTATACAAGACAAAGTGAAAACATATATCATCAACATGCACCATCACGTCAATATATTAATACAAATGACTTTAACTCATACGAAAAAATGCATTCACAAAATTCGTCTACTAATCACCAATATTCATCAGCGAATCGAAGAAGAAAACACAGAAAACGATATCGTGCTCAAGTATCATCACCCATTCGTAAGACAAAAAAAATCAAAATCAATAGAGTGTTTTTATTTTCATATTTAGATGTTTCAAAATCATTCAATACAATGGAGACACAATCCCAAATAGAGAGTAAGTGAAGTTCATAGAAAATGTGCAAATACACTTTCGATTTCAGCACATGCACCGTATATTTTGTATCATATCATCCAACCGTATCTTCTCCTTCACTAAACCATTAAAAAACACAAAATGTATAAGTTTATTCGTCAAGATTCGACTCTACTCGATAGAATTCTGATCTTATTTCCTACTTCTTTGTTCGCTAGAGTTCATATTTTAGTAACGAGTTTCATCCTCCGTTCCCATGTGTACTTTTTCATCAACAAATCTTCTGCTTCCTCTCTTTAGACTTCTAATCTTCTATCAGGTTTGTCGGTGTTCAGTAGATCAATCTTTCTAAGATCCATTGCGAAATTCACCAAATAACATTAAGATTGAAGATATTTTTACCGATGATTGCAAATATGACTTAGACCATAGAATGAATCAATTTTGACAACGATGAAATTGACGATCATTCTGATAGTAATCGATTATTTTTTCATCTAAAGAAAAATTTGTAAATTACATGCAAAATGATCTCATGATTGTAAGAGATGCAATAAATTATATAAGAAGAGTTAATAATCTTCATTTTTTATCAAAAACTTATTCATAAGTATTGACAGTTAGTTTTTCCAGAAATGAATGGTCGTCAGTACCTAATATTTTCGATGTGTATTGAATAATTATCTGTGCATTACAATAGTGACCGAAATAAAAACTTAATTTTTTAAGGGATTCCTATGGTACCAATCATAGTAATTATCTTTAGAAATTATCGGAAAAATCCACGATAAAATTAGATTTCTTTGAAAATTATCATTTTCATTCAAATAGAGTTTAGAAAAACAAGTATCTGTAGACAAAGATAACTTTTACCAATCAGCAATATAACGAAGGATAGGTACTATAGATACTAATAGACATCAAGATCATATACACTGCTAGGAAGGTCGAACTCTTGATTGCATTTACTCGTTTTTCTGTTATGTCAAACGTTCGAACTTGACTATTTGTTCATTATTGTCCTTGTGTTGCCTTTTCTCTATAGGTAATTGTTTAATTATCATGTCCATCAGATTTGAATTCGATTTGATAATGAGAAAATTTGTCTAGGAGAAAGTCTATTTTCAATATCTAAAGAACATTTGCAATTCATGTAACAGAGTAATGAACAAGACATTACTATTGGTATGAGTTCATTTAACCATAGAATATACATGTATCATAGAAATCGAATGACAAAAATTTGAAGTCACTTATTTTTATTATAGACGATGCATATCAGGCCTATGTTCACATGATGTATCAAACTGAGTTTGACAACTATCAGCCAGCTAATCCTAATGAATCTTATCCATGGAACTACAACAATTATCAACATGTAATATTAATAATTCACTTTCTTTGCGACATATCTAAGCTCATACTTTGTAGAATGAAGCGGATGTCAGTACATTGGTGGAGACAGCTGCAACTGTCGAAGAAAAGTAAGCTTAATGAAATGATCTATTTTGACAACTATGAATGATCATATTTATCTAAATTTTCAATGAAAACTATATATCGAAAGAATTCCTCTATTAAAATGATATCATAAAAGAAGAATGATAAGAAGTTTTAGTAGAAAAAAAGAGAACAATGGTCGACTTACTCGGACCAAAATTAATTGATCAAATTGCATTATGAATCATTGATTTCGTTCGAAATTTGATCTTTTACAGCATCGAAAATAACTCACCATTCAAAAGCTATTTCAACTATATATACAAAAGTTTTCAAATGTAGTTTGATCGCTCGATAGTGAATTACTTCATTTAAAATGACAACTGTATTGAAATTCAGAACTAAGAATTATTATTAGAATGGCTCATTTGTCTAGAAAATGATTATGTAATAAAATCTTGAGAATGAAAAAAATCAAAAATAAAATCTTAAAGAGAACGAAACTTTAGAAATGTCAAATACATATCATTCTTATCTTCAAGTTTGTAATCAATATCTTGTTTCGAGATTTTTCAATGTTTCCAGGCAAACGATCTCTGTTCACTAGCACTTGTAGAAATTTCGATTTTGAACGTAAGAAAAATATATTCGCTTGAGATCAGTCAATCATTCATGTCGAAACGTGAAAACCGGATAGATCATTTTGCAGATTTGTGACATGATTAATTGTGAATTTTTCCAAATAAAATGTGTCTCGAATGCTTTTATGGTTGTCAAATGTTTTTGTATCTTGCTATCATTATTAGTTATTGCATCTTCGAAAGAATTTAAATTGTACATTTGAATATTCTCAATTGTAGTAAGATATCTATACCGACACGCGAATGTGTTGTTTGCTTGATGGCGCAACCTGAACGGGAGTTTTATCCTACGTACAGTGAAACATGTCAACATATTTATCGCTATATTTGCAATGCATGTACATACTACAGTGTCAAAGCTATTCTCGATAGTACCATTAGTAGTCAAGTATCTTGTCCTGAGACAAGCTGTTCAGCAAAGTGGAATTCAGACCAGGTTCGTCAAGTGCTCCTCATCAATAATGATCATGTGTTGTTGAAAAAATACGATGCTTATCTGATCAAACGATTTCTCGACAACGAAGATAACTTTTTTTGGTGTGCTCATGAATGTGGTTCGGGTCAATATGATAATTCAATATCGATTCAAAATTCAAAAATGACTTGTATCACATGCCAAAAATATACCTGTACCTTTCATCGTGTTAAGTGGCACGAAGGTATGACCTGTCATCAATATGAACAACGGTATCCATCTACTGATACAAGGACACGCAAATGGATTGAAAAACATACAAAAAAATGTCCCAGATGCCAATGCAACATTGAGAAGAATGATGGTTGCAATCATATGACTTGTAGAAAATGTGGACATCAATTCAATTGGAATAGTGTGACCAGTTATAATCCATTAATGAATCGGTGGCATATTCCACATCAATTCAATGAAAATGCTCCGGTCAACTATACTCCATTTACAAACCGCTCGCAAGTTCAAAATAATATTGGTCGTAGACATCATTTCAAAGAAAAACTTACGTCACTTTTTCGTTTGTTGAAGTTTCAAAGGTATTCATGACCTTAAGTCGAAACAGTCTTATCGAACTATCTTTGTAATTACTCAAAACATTCTTTTTTCAATCATAATCAAGATTTTTACTACGATTTTTCAAGCCCCAAAAGCTATCGAGCTCACACGACTCTATCATATCATAATTCAATTTGTACATAGAGGAACTTCTTCATATATCGGCTGATTATGGAATCAAATGGCGATGTCAATGTTTTCATAATAACTTACATTGGTCGGACTTTTAAAGAAGAATTATTATTGATTCTACGGGAATCATGGTCGTATTCGGCGGTATCTTTTCATAAATCGGCAAGTACAAAAAAATGACACTTGCAATATTTTTAAGTTTTTTTTCTTCTTTAATACATTTTATCAAGAAAAGTTCTTTTCCTAAAAGAACTTTTCTCTTAAATTCTGTAGAAGAAATCGAAGGACAATTTTCTTCTACAATAGACAAACAAAAAATGATATGTACGATTATTATTTCAATTATGTGGAAAATATAAATAGTTTTTGCTTCTTTTTGTTTTACGAAACGCATTGTATGTTTGTATTATTTTAAAAGCGTCAAAGTACAATTGAAATTTATTTTCCTACCGTTTAACAAGCTTGTCTTTCTCATCCTGTTATGCAAGACTACTATGAATATAAATATCGAATGAAATTCTTCGAATCTGGATGATTAATCAAAACTATCGGAAACCTAGTGATTTTTCACTATGTAATGCAAGAAATTTGCACGAAATCCTAGCGTTCGATAACCATAAATGATGAGCTACCTTTGAAGTGGTGCGATAGAGCATTTTTGAGAAAAAAATTTATTTCTCAACACAGATGAAAGGTTATCTAAAGCCTATGGATAGTTTTATTGGTATATATATGCAGGTTATAAGTAAGTAAAAAAGAATCATTTAAATATATGTCTATGGAGAGTTGATGTCTTTGAAAGATACCTTCTTGAACCATATCAGACCTGTTTGTAATCCTACTCATGACAGTGTCAGTTGTTCAGCCATTTTATCTTGTAATTCAGTTTAAAATTGTTTTTTACACATCAAGCCTACTCAAGAGTTTTGAATAGAACATTGAGGAAAGACAAAAGCAACGCTAAACGTAATAATA